CTGCAGGCAAATGAGCATTTGTGATAACAAACACCAGCATACTGTAAATAAATGGCTGACTCACCCGATGTCAATCAGCGGAGGTTTACCCCGTCCTCTCTTGTAGCAGAGGAAGAGCTCAGGGCTCTTGAGACTGCCATGATTAAGGTTGGCTGGCTGGCCGCTGTAGGTGCTCTCGATACAAGTGAAGCCTTCAGGCACCGTTTCCCCTGCTGACTTGTTAATGACGGCCAACTCAGTGATGGGCGCTTTGGGCCCGGTGGATTTAGTCTCCGACAGGTCCTGCTCCAGGGGCGTGGACTTGTCGGTCAGCCCGGCCACCACAAAGTAGTCGGTCACGCGGTGACCCTTGTCCTCAATCATGGCTGGATGTACCTGAGAAGAAAGAACATAAAAAATTAACATTTTTGATTTCAACCTCATATACACCAAAACTTCTTGTAGCCTTCTATTCTATACTGTATTTAAATGTTCTTACAAAGCACATAGGTCAAACAGAATAAGCCTGCAAAAGACTCTAATCCAGTCCAACTGGGTGGCTCTGGAAAATGGGAAGAAGGGCATACATTTTGGATTTTTAACTAGTGGTACAGACCTCCATTTATGTAATGAAGCAACAGATAAACAAATAAATGACAGAAAATTTCCTGTTTTTTCACCATCTACTGTAGAAATGTATGATTTATGATTTTAGGTTCAAAGTAAAACGGGACATATTCTGTCAGCTTGCAAATAAAAATCTGTTTTACAATTACAGGAGAGTCTGTGCAATGAGCTAACAGAGCATTTTCACAATTTTACACATACAATTATTACAATTTATCCCAAAGAGGCATGCTAACATATTTATTTATTTTCCTAGAAAAAGCGAGATGTGTTGTTGAAACAGCACTTCGTTATCTTACATTAAAGACATGTCAGAGATTAAATCTGTAGTTAAACTTCTTTAAACTGACAGAAAGCCCAGATAGAAGATCAAAGTGAGCTGCATGTGGCACACAAGGTAAAATGACATCCTTAATGTGGGTCACGTACATCAAAGATCTGCAGGTCTGCAACTATAACTGCAGCAGAAAGTACATCTTAGCCAGAAGAACATTTGACTTTGAGACAGTAGGATGGGTTTCACATGCATTCCCCAGAAAATAAATACTGTGGTCAATGCAATGAAAGGATCCTTTAAGACTGTCGCACCCCACCGGAGCTCACACACACTAGGGAAACGCAAGATTTAACAGGGGGACTGGATCTGCTGGCATTCCCAAACACCCTTGTCACTGTATATCACCGCACTGCTCCAAACAAGTTGAGAGAGTTAAAGCTCTGGTGGCTGCGACGAGCAAAGGCAGAGCAGCCGAGGCTGGAGGAATGCTCAGAAATGCCACTGAGAGTGTAAATCAAGCAGACATCCAAGTCTACAAAACTGCTGAAATATGGTCTCAAACTGGGCTGGCACTGGCATAATGCGCCTTTAGGCATCATGTATTGCATGTTTTCGAGGTTTATGCTTTCCCAGTAAACCTTTGAGTCACAATGCCAAGTATAAAGTTCACTGTCAGGGACTCCGTAATCAGTTACAGACCAAGACGCAACACAGTCACACACTGCTGTATGGTAAAATCATCATCCGCAGGATGGTTCTGCGGCTAAAACTAAAGAGTTTGTTTCCTTAAAGCTCAATATCACCACAAATGTTCAGTTTATAACAGGTGGTCCCTCAGTAGATAGTGAGGTAAATGTGCATCTCAAATCTGCCACTTAAACAGTTAAGAAACAGAGCGAACAAGGAGAAAGTGACTTAGTTACTTTTTATAATTTCTCCCACAAGGGTTTTCACAATCAAAACACTTATTGAAGATGCAGCTTGAAGCCATAATTAAGTAGCATGTGATCATGGGATGTCTTCACCACTGCCAGTGATGATCTATCTGAAGTAACTCAGTCATTTATTGCTATTTCATTCTAATGAGCGAGCCACAAATGACGTTAGTTTGAGTAATTCCTGAAGATCATATAAGCCAACAACCACCAATAGAGCCACCACAGACAACATTATGAGTTAAAATTAATAGTGGGGCAGCCTGCCACTGTTCTCTTTACTAGCATGTTGATTATTGTCATAATGTTATACTCGGCAGGAAACTACAAATAAAACAGAACGGTACATTAAATATAATTATGGATTTCTCCTGGTCTTTACATTTTTGGAAGCATAATGTAAGTAGGCAAGTGAAGAAATATATAAATCCAGTCATTTTGGGGTGTTTAAAAAGGGAAAAGGTTCCACATTATAGTCTTAAGGCAAGCACATCTATGCCCTCTTCAAAGAGCTTTTAAGACCAACTCAGGAAGTTCGGTTTTTCCACTGGTGAGTCAGCATCTGCAGCAGGACAGAAAAAGAAGCCACTTTGTACAGCCACAGACAGCCCTGAACTTTATGACACAGCTTAATGCAGTTCTTTGTAGTCTTCTTGTTTCTATTTTTACCGGTCGACATGATAACGCACTGCAATAATGCCACGGTATTATCATGAAGCAACAATGCAGGCATTCTGAAAGTTGGGAGAGGTAAAAATCTAAAAGAATACACGTGAGGCTACGTTTGTGTGCAGGAGGCTGCAGTTCAAGGTGTGGTAGATCGGCCTACCTGGGAGGAAATATTCAGCTACAGTGAGGCAAACACACCAAACACACTTTCCACACAGTTTCAAATCCTTTCTAGATTCTCAACCACTGACAGCATACATTCTGGGACAACCACGGTATAATCTGTGTCACAGACATTTCAAGTTATGTTTCATTATTGTCATACAGGACATGACTCATTAAAACGAAGAATTCATGCAGTGCCACTTTCTGGGCTCAAACTTGGCTTGCTGCCTATGAGAATGTGCCAAAATTGATTTGTTTCGAGAAGACTGCCAGCTCTACGGTCCAGGTAACTTTCAACAGTTAAAACTGGACATCTGCCCAGGATATGGCCTCCTTTTCATTACAATGCTGGGAAAACGCTCCAGTAAAAAGAGCTGAGTGCAATGCATCAACACAGCCATTTAAGCAGCAAAACCAGTAAAGGTTAATGTCGTGTGTACGAGGAGGCGGAATGATTTCTACTTTTACCACCAACAGAAAACGCAATAAAAAAGTGCATTAATGAGGACAGGAGGTAAGAGGCAGGAGGGATCCGCGATCTATCGAGATCTACCTGACCGGGTTTACTCACTTCAGTCAATAACGTCTATTTATCTTTGTACTCATGGCCGTGTGTTTATTTGCTCTACGTTTAGTCATGTCCCCGATACTTGTTTATTTTTGTGTCTACATATCACTACTATTTATTATGTGACAACATCATTGCAGAGGCAGAGTTAAGACTTATTGCTCTGAAAAGATTTACTGCACAGTATCCATGGCTACATCTCACGTGTCAAAACCCTGTTTAAAAGCAAAATGCTGTTTTCTCCATATTTGCACAGCAACAAACCACAGTGTTAAATGTGCTCTCACCAAAGTGGCCAATAAATGTTCTCTGGTGGTTTAAACATTGACTGGATGGGCTTTCTGTGTTTGTGGGTAAATAAGTGCCTCTTTACAGCCAAAACACTTGACATGGAAAAATGGTCCAGGGAGTCTGTTACAAATGAGCAGTTGTTTCAAATGTTTAGTCCACAAACATGAACTGACCATTAGCTTCTAAGCCAGTAACTGAAATTTAACGTTTATTTTAATTTACAATTACAATATGCTAAACCCATAGACTGTATGTAAAAGATGGATATAGTCTCCGTTGCACATATTAGTTTATAAAATACATCTTAGGAGTTTGGAGTCTGATATTGTGGAGCCAGAAAACAAATGAGTTTCAATTTATCAGCTAATGCCAACTTACTTCCAAAACAAAGACCCTACATTAATACAAAGAAAACAGAGAAACCCCCAACAAGAGCAAGTGCTTTGGCGACAGTGGGAAAGAAAAACTCCCTTTTACCAGGAAGAAACCTCCAGCAGAATTACGCTCAGGAGGAAGAGCCATCTGCCACGAGCAGTTGGGGGTGAGGGGAGGAAGACAGGACAAAGACTCGCAAAAACATACATTCTTTGGTGGTCTGCTAGAATATTTTAGCCACACTGAAAGAAACATTTGTGTAAATAATTAATTGAAAAAAATACTAAAAACAAAGTCAAGATAGTAGTGATGGTAGTGATAATGGTGGTGGTGGCAGTGGTGGAGAGGACAAAGGCAGTAATTGTGAGGTGCAGACAGTACAGTGCCAATGTTTCCTAATATCATTAAGCAAAAAGGTGTAAAAATACATTAAAAGGAAAAAATAAAAGCATACAAATTATTCACCTCATTTAAGTTCACACTACTTTCTCCCAAAGTTTCTCTCTGTCACCACACGTTATGTTGGCTTTATAGTACCACATTTGTGTCTGTTTCCATGGGTATATGCTACACAAACCATAACAGACCACAGCTTAATGTGGAAGATACTCGTGTGCAGGTCAAACGCTGATTGGCTGAAACAATAAAGGAAGTGACTGTGGAGTTAACAAACTGCAGAAGCGTGAAAAAACATCAAAGACAGCATGAAAAGCACAGACATGAAGAACGGTCAGAGTCATTTCAGCTCTTTGTATCTTGTAACTTGGGTCTTTTCTCTGGCTGATTGATAGACTAGCAACGGCTCCCTGGTGACAGCAGACAAATATGAAACCTCAAAAAACCATAAAACCATGAAAAAGCCATTATACTTAATTTATGGCGCTGCAAGTGCGTATTTGCCTACGAAGAGAGGTTTTCAACCAATGGAAACGTGCTGCCTCCAAATCTCAACTGCACATTGCTCGAGTGTGTCGGCCGTATGCTGATTGGTTGACAAGTTGACCGGAAAAACTGAGTTCACAGCACCAAAAATACAGACAGCAGCTCCACGGACACTTTTCGTTGTTTTCAATACTCAGTTTCACTTCAGCTCTTTTTATGTTAGAACTTGGCTCAAATAAGAGTACATGTCAATGCTCCCCGAGGAGTCAAGGTAGGCTAAACACTTAGTTGAGCTGTGGTGGTGTAGGAGCAAGAAGGACACATGCATACACATTTATTTCCCATTAAAGGGGCTATACCAGCAAGAAAGCAACAAAGAGTGGCAGTGGCCGAAAGAGTGAGCGGTGAAACTGAAATAAAAGCAAAGTTCAAAGCTCCCAGTTTAGACACAGTGTAAAACCTCGTGTACTTATGCTAAAGGGAACTGCAGTTACTTTGAGCAACACCTTTTATGTTATGGTCATTTGAGCCATAGGATAAAAATATTGATTACAGATGGATACAATACAAGGAGGGAGTTACCTACCTGAATATATCCCTAATGAGA